AGATGCTGGCCCTGCTCAAGAGGAAGGACCTGGCGGGGCTGGAGGCGCCGCTCGAGCCCCCCAAGCCCGACGGCCTCAAGGCCTTCGAGGAGAAGCTCAACGGGAGCCTCCGGGCACGGCCCGGCAAGGAGAACATCAGCGACGAGCCCGTCGACATGAGCGCCAGGAGGAGGTGGGTGAGGGGGGAACGCGAGGGGAATGACGCCGGGAATGACGCCGGGAATGACGCCGGGAACGACGCTGGGAGTGGGAGGAGGGAGGAGTCCGGTCGGGGGGTTCAGCAGGATTTTAGGGGGTTTGGGTTGATTCCAGTGGGATAAAAGGCACTTCCAGGAGTTTGGGTTTGATTCCAGTGGGAAAAGGTGTTCCCAGGAATTTATGGTTTCATTCCAGAGGGGAAAAGGCACTTCCAGGAGTTTGGGTTGATCCCAGTGGGAAAAGGTGTTCCCAGGAATTTATGGTTTCATTCCAGTGGATAAAAGGTGTTTCCAGGAGTTTGGTTTGATCCCAGTGGGAAAAGGCACTTCCAGGAGTTGGGATTTAATTCCAGAGGGGAAAAGGTGTTCCCAGGGATTGGGTTTGATTCCAGAGGGGAAAAGGCACTTCCAGGAGTTTGGGTTGATCCCAGTGGGAAAAGGCACTTCCAGGAGTTTGGGTTTGATCCCAGTGGGATAAAAGGCACTTCCAGGAGTTTGGGTTTGATTCCAACAGGGAAAAGGCACTCCCAGGGGTTGGGTTTGATTCCAGTGGATTTCCAGGAGTTTGGGTTTGATTCCAGTGGGAAAAGGTGTTTCCAGGAATTTGGTTTGATCCCAGCAGGGAAAAGGCACTCCCAGGAATTGGGTTTGATTCCAGTGGATAAAAGGTGTTCCCAGGGATTGGGTTTAATTCCAGAGGGGAAAGGCACTTCCAGGAGTTTGGTTTGATCCCAGTGGATTTCCAGGAGTTTGGGTTTGATTCCAGTGGATAAAAGGTGTTCCCAGGAGTTTTGGGTTTGATCCCAGTGGGAAAAGGCACTCCCAGGAGTTGGATTTCATTCCAGCAGGGAAAAGGCACTCCCAGGATTTTGGGTTTGATCCCAGTGGATTCCCAGGAGTTTGGGTTTGATCCCAGTGGGAAAAGGCACTCCCAGGAGTTTGGGTTTGATTCCAGTGGATAAAAGGTGTTCCCAGGAATTTGGTTTGATCCCAGCAGGGAAAAGGCACTTCCAGGAGTTTGGGTTTGATCCCAGTGGATAAAAGGCACTTCCAGGAGTTGGATTTCATTCCAGCAGGGAAAAGACACTCCCAGGAGTTGGGATTTAATTCCAGAGGGGAAAAGGTGTTCCCAGGGATTGGGTTTGATTCCAGAGGGGAAAAGGCACTTCCAGGAGTTTGGTTTGATCCCAGTGGGAAAAGGCACTTCCAGGAGTTTGGGTTTGATTCCAGCAGGGAAAAGGTGTTCCCAGGGGTTGGGTTTGATCCCAGTGGATTTCCAGGAGTTTGGGTTTGATCCCAGTGGGAAAAGGTGTTCCCAGGAGTTGGGTTGGATCCCAGCAGGGAAAAGGCACTTCCAGGAGTTTGGTTTGCTCCCAGTGGGATAAAAGGCATTCCCAGGAATTTGGTTTGCTCCCAGTGGGATAAAAGGCGTTCCCAGGAGTCAGGGAGGGGCTGTGGGAATGGTGGGATAATAGGGAACGGGAAGCAGCGGGATTAGGGGAGTTGGGAATGTTTTCTTGCCAAAGGGGGGTGGTCCAGGTTTATCCAGGGGATTGGGGGGTTCCTCATCCCTGGAATTCCATGGATACTGTGCCCGGTTGGGCACCAGCACCGGACACTGGGATGGGGGATGAGCCGTGGAAGGAGGTGGGAATGTCCCGCTCCAAGCTTGGAAACCATTGCCCTGGATTTCCCTCGGGAATGTTGCTCCCGTTCCGGTGGATCCCTCGGAATTCCGCTCTTCCCTGGACGAAGAAAATCCGTTGATTCCTCCTGGATTTTCCCCGTTGGATTTGGGCTTTGGCTTCGTGTTTGTTCCCTCTCCGTGGAATGTGGATGATCCAGCCCGGATTGATCCCGCAAAACCCACCCCTGGAGCGGGATCCGCTGCCGGATCCCTCCGGATTGCAATTCCTGGGATGCAGCTGGGATTGCCTGGAGGGGGGAGCTCCAGCTGGATCCACCTTCCTTGGGATGCTCTGCTGGGAAAGGGGCGGCTCCAGCCCTTTGGAATATCCGCAGGAACGGCTGGGAGACGAACTCGGAGCGTCCTCGGAGCAGCCAGATCTGGGATTGGGGCGTGACAGATTTTGGGATGTGACAGATTTTGGGATCTGACATTTTGGGATGTGACAGTTTTTGGGATCTGACATTTTGGGATGTGACAGTTTTTGGGATCTGACATTCCGCGGTGTCCTCGCTCCAAGGACCTTCCACAACGTTCCCGGCTGCTCCCGGATTATCCCGCGGTTTTCCAAGACTCTCCAGCTCCAAGATGGGAACTCTGGGATGGCAAAGGCGTCTCCTCCCCCCCTGGGGATGATCCCTGGGGATGATCCCTGGATCCCAACTCTGGCATCCCAACCTTTCCTCTTCCCAACCACTCCGTTTGTTTCCCGATTCCCTCCTGGACCCATCGGATATTTACTCGGATTCTCCCTCAGGGAACGCGCTTTTCCGAGCCATTTGGGCCGGGATAGCGCTTGGAATTCGTGGGGGAGGGCTTGGAGAACCATTCCAGGCCGGAACATCCCGGAATCCGCATCAGACTCTGCCCTATCCCCCCATTCCCAGCTGGGATTTTCCCTCCTGGATCAAACCCAGGGGGTGTGTGGGAAGGGTTGGACTCTTTGGGATGATGGAGGGGTGGGATTGGTGCAGGATTGGGGTGGGATCAGTGCAGGATTGAGGTGGGATCAGTGCAGGATTGAGGTGGGATCAGTGCAGGATTGGGGTGGGATTGGTGCAGGATTGGGGTGGGATCGGTGCAGGATTGGGGTGGGATCGGTGCAGGATTGGGGTGGGATTGGTGCAGGATTGGGGTGGGATCGGTGCAGGATTGGGGTGGGATCGGTGCAGGATCCCGGCTGATCCCGCTCTGTTCCCGCAGTGACTCGGAGCGGGGACCTGGATCAAACCCAGGGGATGTCTGGGAAGGATTGGACAGTGTGGGATGCTGGATTGGGGTGGGATCGGTGTTGGATTGGGGTGGGATGGGTGCAGGATTGGGGTGGGATCGGTGCAGGATTGGGGTCTGACCCCGCTCCGTTCCCGCAGTGACTCCAAATGGGGACCTGGATCAAACCCAGGGGTTTTTGGGAAGGATTGGACTCCATGAGATGATGGAGGGGTGGGATTGGTGCAGGATTGGGGCTGACCCCGCTCTGTTCCCGCAGTGACTTGGAGCAGGGACCTGGATCAAACCCAGGGGGTTTTTGGGAAGGATTGGACTCCATGAGATGCTGGAGGGGTGGGATTGGTGCAGGATTGGTGCAGGATTGGGGTTGACCCCGCTCTGTTCCTGCAGTGACCCGGAGCGGGGCCGCCTGACGCCGTCCCCGGACATCATCGTGCTGTCGGACAACGAGGCCTCGAGCCCGCGCGGCGGCTCCCGCGGGGACGAGCGGCTCAAGGCGGCCAACCTCGACATGTTCAAGGTGAGGCCCTTCCCAGAGCATTCCCAGAGCATTCCCAGAGCATTCCCAGAGCATTCCCAGAGCATTCCTGGCAGCGTTCCCCATGTCCTCCCCGACCCGGCTGAGCTCCCTGTGGGGTCGGGCGCCCTCGGGGTCTTTCCCTCGCTGTTTTCCCGCCATTCCAAGGTTTTTTCCAAGGGAAGAGCCTGGAGAAGGGGCAGAATTCCCACTGGGATTGAGCTTCCTCTTGGCCTTGGCCTCAGATTTTTTTGGCTTTCTGGGTTTTTTCGAGAAAAACCTGGAGGAGCAGCCAAATTCCCACTCGAATTGAGCTTCCTCTTGGTCTTTCCCTCATGTTTTCCCAGCATTCCAAGTTTTTCCAAGGGAAGAGCCTGGAGGAGCAGTCAAATCCCACTCAAATTGATCTTCTCCTGCTCTTCCCTTTCCATTTTCCCCCCATTCCCGTTTATTTTCCCAGGGGAAGAGCCTGGAAGAGCAACCCAATCCCGCTCAAATTGATCTTCTCCTGCTCTTCTCTTTCCATTTTCCCCCCATTCCTGTTTATTTTCCAAGGGAAGAGCCTGGAGGAGCAACCAAATCCCACTCAAACTGATCTTCTCATGTTCTTTTCCTCATGTTTTCCCCCCATTCCCACATTTTCCACGGGAAGAGCCTGGAGGAGCAACCGAATTCCCCCTCGGATTGAGCTTCCTCATGGTCTTTCCCTCACATTTTTTCCGGGTTTTTCCAAGGGAAGAGCCTGGAGGAGCAACCAAATCCCACTCAAACTGATCTTCTCATGTTCTTTTCCTCCTGTTTCCCCCCCATTCCCACATTTTTCCCAGGGGAAGAGCCTGGAGGAGCGGCAGCAGCTGATCAAGCAGCTGCGGGACGAGCTGCGCCTGGAGGAGGCGCGGCTGGTGCTGCTCAAGAAGCTGCGGCAGAGCCAACTGCAGAAGGAGAACGTGGTGCAGAAGGTGGGCCCTGGGGGAGCTGGGGGGGGATGGAGGGGCGGCAATCCCGGCTCTCCAGAGGCTCTGATCCCGGTTTTTCCCCGTCCCAGACGCCGGTGGTGCAGAACGCCGCGGCCATCGTGCAGCCGGCGCCGGCGCACGGGGGGCAGCAGGGCCTGGCCAAGATCCCCGCCCGGCCCGGAGCGCAGGGCGTGGAGACACAGAACCTGCGCAGCCTGCAGGTGGGTGGGAACCCCCTGGCCATGGGGAGGGATCCCTTCCACTGGGAAAGGATTCCTTTTGTCCTGGGAAAGGATTCCTTTTGTCCTGGGGAAGGATCCCTTCCGCTGGGAAAGGATTCCTTTGACTGGGAAAGGATTCCTTTTGTCCTGGGGAAGGATCCCTTTCACTGGGAAAGGATTCCTTTTGTCCTGGGAAAGGACTCCTTTCACTGGGAAAGGATTCCTTTTGTCCTGGGGAAGGATCCCTTCCGCTGGGAAAGGATTCCTTTTGTCCTGGGAAAGGATCCCTTTCACTGGGAAAGGATTCCTTTTGTCCTGGGAAAGGACTCCTTTCACTGGGAAAGGATTCCTTTTGTCCTGGGGAAGGATCCCTTCCACTGGGAAATGATTCCTTTCACTGGGAAATGATTCCTTTCACTGGGAAATGATTCCTTTCACTGGGAAATGATTCCTTTTTTCCTGGGAAAGGATTCCTTCCACTGGGAAAGGATTCCTTTTGTCCTGGGAAATGATTCCTTTTTTCCTGGGAAATGCCTCCTTTCCACGGGAAACACCAGGGACCCCCAGTAACCCCCCGTGATCCCAGTGACTCCCAGTGACTCCCAGTGATCCCAGTGACTCCCAGTGATCCCAGTGATCCCAGTGACTCCCATTGATCCCAGTGACTCCCAGTGACTCCCAATGACTCCCAAGGACTCCCAGTGATCCCAGTGATTCCCAATGACCCCGAGTGACCCCCAGTGATCCCAGTGATTCCCAATGACCCCGAGTGACCCCCAGTGATCCCAGTGACTCCCAGTGACTCCCATTGATCCCAGTGATTCCCAGTAATCCCAGTGACTCCCATTGATCCCAGTGACTCCCA